CTCCTCTTGGGATCTTGGGCACACACACACACATGTGCCCGGCATGAGTTTAAACCACAGGGTCCTGGACTCGACTCGTGGTCGACTACCTGGGAGTCCAGCGACATAGCCATTACGCCATCTGCTGGTTCCCCTCTTTAGAGTTCTTATCCCTTAGTTGTGAATCTCCTGTTACCAATTGTTACTATTGATTCTTATTTGTTTTCCTCATATAAACTTATAAAACTTCCATCAGATTACTGTGTGGTTACTGTCTCCTGGCCAGAATTTATGTAAAATACTTTTATAAAGTGCTTTGCAAATGTTGACATATTCAATCCTTATTAACAATCCCATTTTGTCCATGACTGAAATCAGGGTAAGAGACGTTAGAAATGTGTCCAAATGTATGTTGCCGGTAAGTGGGCAGGTGACCTCGAGAGCTAGAATTGTTCTGCTCTCTCTTCTCATCTTCTCTAGAATTGTTTTACTGACTTATCTTGTACCAGGCCTTTAGACGCCAGAACCTTCCAGAGGTATTGGCATTGGTCACTTACCATAGCTTTGTCTTCCTATCAGTAGCTATTGAATGCCTACTATGTGTCAGACATTGGCAGAGGGGTAATGATGTCATTGGTTGGCTTATTACATAACGATGGTAATTTACAGAAAGTGTCTTGACTTAGGAAGAGTTAAATATAATTCAAACTTAAGTATCTGAAGTTAAAATAGCATAGTTTTCTGTTTTTGACAAGAAGCACTTTTTTGCATTATTTTCTATAGCAGTTCTTGCAGTTCTTTCTCTGATCATTGTCTCAGTCAGGATTCTGATTTTTTTTTTTTTTTTAATTTTAAAGATTTTGCCAGAGGGCACGTGTGCTTACCGGGGACAGAGGGGGAGAGACAGAGAGAAAGTGAAAAAGCACTCCCCCCCCACACACACAAGGGGAGATAGTCCGACCACAATCCCTTCTCCATCTCTCCCTCCTTTCTAGATTTTGGGCACACGTACACAGGCCAGTGTGTTTTTCCAAGCTGCTGGGTTCAGGACACAAACCACATGCTTGGCCATGTGGAATCCAGCCACAAGGGCTGGCCCTGAATTTTTATTTTATTTTTTGCCAGAAGTCTATGTTCTTTCTCAGACAAATAAACAAATATCTTTTAGGATCTCTTTATTGTTGTGTAAAAGTTGTGTGTGGCAATTTCTCCTGTGAAACTTGAATTTAGCACTAGGAGCTCATTGATGCTATAGGATAAAGCAAAGCTCACAAAAGAGCTTCTGAAAATGAATTGTGAAAAGCTTGGAAGAATCTTTTGTGATGAGAGCAACATTGTGTCTTTCTCAGCTAGAAAGCCCAGCTCCTGGCCAGAGTGCTTTTGCCTATAAACTGCTGTAATGAGATTAAACGGTGGTTTTGGCAAGATCTGCTGCCAACGATTGGGGACCCGGTTCTTGGAACTAAGAATAGACAGAAAACTTTCTTAGGATCTATAAAGGCTTGTTGGCAAAAGTAAAAGGATAAGAAAAAAAAATTCTTACAATGCCTTGTAAAGAACAGTATTCAAACTGTGCTTCAAATTCCTAGCTAAGTAATAAAAATCACTGGGGCTTAGTAATTTTTTTTTTCTTTCTTTCTTATTTTTTTTTGAGAGAGATTTTTTTGTTATAGGGTGTGTGAGTTCACCAGAGAGACAGAAAGTGAGAAATTACCCTCCAGGGAGGATGGCCATGCTGCAATCCCTTCTCTCCCATTCTCTTCTCGGGATTTTGGACACATACGTGCCTGGAGTGAGTTTTGGGCCGCTGAGTCTAGGATTTGAACCACCATTGACTATGTGGGAATCCAGTGAAGTAACTGTTACACCATCTGCTGGTTCCAATTCTTCATATTTTTTTCTCCTCAAATTAGAGCTACTGAAATGGCTTAGTACTTTTCGGAAGATGCTGGACCAATGTATTAGCCACTCGAATTGTCATATTTTTATTGTTTACTACTTTACAGCTGAAGAAAATTGGGAGCAAGTGACTTAGATTTTCGGGGGGTACTTGGGTGCAATCTAGAGTCAGAGTCCATCTGTGCCTGGATTTTAGGTATGGCTCTAAAGCAAGTTGGCAAAATGGGTGCCATTACGTATTTCGTGGATCCTGTCCCTAGGGCATCTGTTGAGAAATGAAAATTTTACCACCTCTGGACACAGGAGGGCACCCTAAACAGGCAGCCCTGGATTCAGTGTACAAAGGGAGGAAAGGAGGGCTCTCTTTATCAAAGGCGGGGTGGACTTTGGGCATCTCTGTCTGCTTACGGACAACCCCACCCACAGAACTGGCCTAGGGAAATAACTGTGCAGACCTTTGGTCCCCATTTCCCATGGCTAAATGGAGATCTGGTTCAAATCTAGGTTTTCAGTCAGAATTACCATCTGTCACTTTGGCAAAAACTGCTATTAATCTGGTAACTTTTCCCATTAACCTCATTTGATGTTGCTTTCCTAAGAATGTTTAATTATAATCTCTTTTTCTGGTGCCAGCAGAAGTGAACCGCTTGTGAACCGAGCCTTAAATCAGGTCTGTGGTTTCTAGTTTCTTCCTCCAAAATAGCCTCCACTGAGGGTAAATTTTGCAGTGACTTGTGTTTACCTTAAAGCAGTTGCTGAGCACCCCTAAGGATAGGCTCGACAAAGAAGATCTGGAATATGTAGAGATCCCCAAATGAGATATATTCCAGTAATGACTACATTATTGGGAACCCAATAGGTTTGGATTTCACAGATGGAATTTTATTTATTTTTCAGGTTTTTGTTATAGGGTACCGATGATGGTTGGAGAGAGACAAAGAGAGGGAAAGTGAGAAATCACTCCCCCGGGGGGATGACCACACCACAATCCCTTCTCTTCCATTCTCTTCTTGGGATTTTGGACACTATACACACACACACACACACACACACACACACACACACACAATCACATGTCTGGTGTGATTTTTAAGCTGCTAGGTTTGGGAATCAAAACTGCAGTAGACCATGTGGGAGTCCAGTGCCTTAACCACCATGCCACCTGCTAGCCCCACACAGATGAACCCTTGGTGGGAGATGTATATGGGACAGTGTAGGTGAAATTATTCAGTCTTCATGGGCATTAAAGTATTGTAACTTCTACTAGGAAAACGTTTAAGAGAAAAGAAACCAATGTTCTAACTACTGTGAATTAAGAGATTAGAGTGCTCGTAGCTCTTGGGTTTTCAGAGAGTCCAAAATGTTTTAAAAGAATGGCAGAATATGATCCAAATCTCCTACACCACACCAGTGGGTTTCACCAGAACAAGATATATAATATGTAAATGGGCAGACACTGGCACTAAAATATTGAAATTATCATTTCAAAGATGCAAATTAGTAAGTGCTTACATACCCTGAGTCTATAAGAAAAGCAAAGATCTAGCAAAAACCATAATCAGGTCTAACCAGTGTTTGGCATTCTTTCGTTTCTTTTCAGTGACCTAGGAGTGTTTGCTATGTGCTTAGGAATGTGTCTGAGTTTTTTTTTTTTAAATAATTATTTTTAATTTTATTCATGATTATTACTTTTTAAATTTGACCAGAGAGACAGGTTCAGGACATGAACCACAGATAGCCATGTGGGAGTCCAGCACCTTAGCCACCATGCCACTTGCCAGCCTAGGAATGTGTCTGAGTTGTTTTTAACCCCAAGAGCAATGTGAAGGAGTGAGGCAAGTTGCAGGATGGTTGGTCCAGCCCTGACAAAGGCAGGTGCACTGCACTGCTGACCTGGCAAACCCATTTTTTTCCCCTTTAAAGCTGTCATATTTAAACTGACAGTTTTCAGTAGAGAGCAAAATCTTGCTGCACAAAAATTGTGCAAAATCCTTTTGTCTTTGTAACATATAAATTCAGGGCCTCACATGGGGTAAACAGGGACTGCAGTCCTGAACATTTGTCTTTCTTATTTGAATGAACAACTTTTCCTTCCTGTGACTTAACATTTTGAATTCCTGTTAAGTCTCTGGGTACACCCAGAGACCTCAGAGAGCTGCACAGAGAGAGCAAACATCCTCCTGTACTTGGCAAAGGAAGAAAAGAATGCTTGCGTGGCTTGCAGCCTCAGCTGCGCAGAGCTGCACCGTGGAAAAGAACCAATGAACCTGGGTTTCCAGGAAAGAAATGCTAATGAGCTGAAAAGAAGCTGCCCTTGAAAGTAGCCAATAGATCTGTAGGACACATGTTAGTGCACTGGAAACAGTGCCAAAACTGAACTAGGAGAATGGGGGCTATTTGGTGTTTGGGCCAACAGGTATCCTTTTCCCTTCTGGAGGTGACATTACCTCTTCTTCATTCAGCCTAGATGGTCCTGCCAGGTCCATGGTGGGCTCTGACTAGCATATGCTAATTGGCACACACCATTCACTGCCCTTCCCTTCCCTACTTTGATGACTGGTTTAGGGCCAAGCCTCTAAGCCATCTGACCCACGGGCAATGGTGTGCAAAGCGTTTGCTGGATTTCGGAGACACCTGCATGATGCAGAAGCTGCCTGGAGAGATTCTCTCAGTGTGGAGGACAGACTTGAATCTTAGGGGTGAGGTGGCCACTTGCCACTATTCGGAATAGAATGTTGGCCTAAGGAGAAAGGGAGATAATGAAGAGAAAGGAATTGGAGCCCTGATCAAACTGGACCCAAGGCTTACTTTGATACTGGACTTTTCAGTCACTGAACCAATAAAATCTCTGTCGTCTAAGCGATGCTGAGCCAAGCTGAGGTTATGTAACTTGTAACCAAGGTCCTCAACTGCCACACGGTGTCAAAGATGATCGTAAAACCACCCATTTCTGTGTAATGTGCTCAAAGGGGCATTACTTTTTCAGGAAGGGTATTTGCTCCAAGAAAAATAGTGTTAATCCGAGTTTTGACTCACATCCTCCAGTCTCTAAAGTTCTCTTGAAAGTAATACACAGTACATTCAGTAATAAACAGACATCCACGAAAGAAACAAGCCAAGTATCAAATGCAGCATATTTTAATTTGTTTCAAATAAAGCAATATATGTATATATATATATTTTCAGAAAAACACCAGATGTTAAATCCTACAAAAGCGCATGTGTCTTTAGCAGATCATGTTTGTCTGATCGGTAAGAACTGTTTTCAACATTAACTCTCTAAAGACAATCAATGGATTGACATCACCGCTACAACATAGGTTGCTAACTGAACCTCTGATCTTCAGCCACATCTTGATTTTCCTAACAAATGAGTAAATACTGCCTGGCTAAAATGCTGCAAAGTCTTGATGAGAAAAAGCATCAACAGATCAAGCAAAGCCATGGAAGTTATGAAGCAAGCTAGAGCTGATTATTAGAATTAGTAAAAATGATTCAGAGAGGATGACACAACCACACAGGGTTTGTATATTCTGATTGACTCTCTTTTGGCAGCGAGTTGGGTCAGCACCTCGGGCAGGGAACCAAAACTGAGCGAAGACTGCTCTCTTCTCCTAGCTCAGGCCACCAACGTCACGGCTGGGACTGAGAGAACCGTGGCATCTGTGGAGACCTCTATTCTTGTGGGGCAGAGATTGCACTGTGATACCCTACCGACGTTACCCCGGAAAGGCCTGGCATCCGGGTTGTCTGCAGTGTGCTGCCTTCGCCGGGGCTTTTCAGGATGGGTCGGGACCTCAGGGGTCTTTGTCCCCAAGGGGGCCTCCTGATTTTTGGCACCTCCTTTGTTTTTGGGACGGAAGCCATTGTGCGGCTGTCTTCTGTGTTCGTGTCGGTTGTTGCCTTTCACCATGGGGTCAGCTTCATTACTGGTGCCCTGTGACTTGGCAGGCCCGTTTATCCGGTTGTTATGATATTGTGGATTAAATCTTCGTCTTTGGTTAGAAGACCCATTCTACCAAAAGAGAAAAGTGGTAAGTATTAGATGCCAGCAAACCACAGATGACACCGGTAGACAGCAGGGAAACTGAATCTCTAAGCCACCCGTAAAGTGTTTTATACCCCAGAAGAGTATGACAGCTTGCAAATAAGGCCATGGTGGCCAAATCCTTAATCTTAGAAGAATAGTGGATGGCTTTATAAGTGCAACTGCAAGAAAATTATTAATGTTGAAAGAGAAGTTATGGGGATCAGCAGGTGGTATGGTGGTTAAGGCACTGGACTCCCACATGGCAGACTGCAGCTCTAGTCTCGGACCTGGTGGTTTAAAAATCATACTGTGTGTGTGTGTGTGTGTGTGTGTGTGTGTGTGTGTGCATGTCTAAAATCCTGAGAGGAGGATGGAGGAGAAGAGATTGCAGAGTGGCCATCACTACTGGGAGTGACTTCTCACTTTGCCTCTCTCTGTCTCTCCTTGGGCAAGCGCATGTGCCCTATGGCAAAAACCTAAAAAGAAAAAAGGAAAGTAAGAAAGAAAGGTTACAAAAGTATAAGACAGATAATCCAAAAATTAGGCCAAATAAAACCCTAAAATATAAAAGAATAAAATGTTAATACAGGGGCAAGACAATAATGATTATCTACCATGAAAAATACTGGGATGTTTCATACAGACTATGTATCTGAATTCTAATTACATATGTGAAGAAAAAAAAGGAAAATTCTATCTTTAATTTTTCTTCTCTAAAGCAGTTTTTCTAATTTAGTTCAAAACAGCTAGCATCATAGTGCAGAAATATTATCTTGGACCAATATAGGGATGGTGTGTATCTTGTGGATCCTGAGGGGATATGGGGGAAACAATGTATTTACACAAAAGTAATCAGTGCTTTTTCTAAATTTTGCAGTTCTAAGTCAACAAACTTTGAAGTTTCATTCTAACAGTCATTCCTTCAACAAACAGATGAGGCTAGGAAGCTACGGATTAAGCCTGTCTGTGTCAGACATGGGAAATATTTCTGAACTCATCAAGGTTAGGAACAGCCCACATCCACTGAGTCCTTGTAGCGTGCCAGGCCTAGGCAAGCGCTTGGCCATGCATGATCTCACTTGTCATCACAACCACTTTCTAACTAGCTGCTATTCTTTCCTTTATTTTCCAGGTGTGGGTAATGAAATCCAGAGTTCTGCCCAAGGTCTACAGCTAGAAAATGTTTGAGCCGTTCTCACTTTACAAACATAGGTTGTTGAGGGGACCAGCAGGTGGGGTAGGGTTAAGATGCTGGACTCCCACATGGCTGACCACAGTTTGAGTCTTAGACCCAGAGGCTTGAAACTCATGCTGAGTGTGTGTGTGTATGTGCCCAAAATCCTCAGAGGAGAATGAAGGGGAAGGGATTGTGGCATGGCCAACCCGCAGGAGGTGATTTCTCACTTTTTCTCTCTCTGTCTCTCCAGTGAGCATATCCACCCTACAGCAAATAACCATTCCCCCCCAAAAAAAAATTAAAAAAGGTTGTTGCATGAACACAAACCTTTTTTTTTTTTTAAATCCTCTATTAGTAAAACATGTAATTTTATGAATTACAAATCATATAAAGTTCTAAATGTGTTTCCTGTGACTGAATGGTATAATTTAGGGCAAAGCAACCCTCGATAACTTAGGACTCAGGGCAAGAGTGCACATGCATGGGGCCAACAGATGGCGTGGTAGTTAAGGTGCTGGACTCCCCCATGACCGACCATGGTTTGTGTCCTGGATCTGGGGGCTTAAAATTCATGCTGGACATGTGTGTGTGTGTGTGTGTGTGTGCCCCAAATCCTGAGAGGAAAATGGAGAAGAGATTGGGGTGTAGCATCCCCCCTGGGTGGCGATTTCTCACTTTCCCTCTCTCTGCCTCTCTCCAGGGAATGCACACGACCTATAGCAAAAAACAAAAAGAGTACTTGCAGACCCACACACCACGTGTCTGAACACTGCCTTGTCCTCGCACTGGCTCCAACCCACACTGTGATGGGGCTTGAACACATGAATGTGCACACTGCACCTGCACACCTGAGCTTCATCCACAGCCCCACAAATAACACCTTTTGGACCTATGGGTATGCAAACTGTCCTCAGGATGCTGTATCCAGGGAAGTGGTTCAGACAGACCCGAGAAGAGGCATGGGGCCACTTAGGATCCTGAGCACTTGGGAACATGTTTCAGAAGGGGTAAAGTAGGCTTTGAGTGCTCATGTCTCCTTAGTCTCACTGATGCCTCACTGCTCTGAGGGCCATAGCCAGGCATGGGCCAAGAAAGTGGTCTCTAAACCACAGACTCAGCTCTGGGGACCTTCTTGCCTGGGTCTATGGCAATTAGTTTTTGATACGGACAAGGGCAATTCAAAAAAATTGTGGAAAAATGGAATTAAAGTACTAGTTTATTTTGATACAAAAATTTTCAGATCCATGCATAATTTTTCATCATATACATTTTCATATATATATATATAAAGATTTTTGCTATAGGGTATGTATGCTTGTTGTAGACAGAGAGAGACAGTAAGAGGGAAAGCAAGAAATCACCTCCTAGGGGGACGGGGAGGATGGTCATGCCACAATTTCTCCTCCTCCATTCTCCTCCTGGGATTTTGAGCATGCACGCACATGCGCCCAGTATGATTTTTCACACCACCAGGTCTGGGACTTGAACTGTGGTTGACCATGTGGAAGTCCAACACCTTAACCATATGCTACTTTGTGGTACCTCCATGAATTTTTTTTTTTATAGGTTTTTGCTATGGGCGTGTGCACTTGCCAGAAAGAGAGAGAGAGACAGAGAGACCGAAAGCAAGAAATCACCCCCCAGGGGAGATGGCCACACCGCAATCCCTTCTCCTCCACTCTCCTCTCGGGATCCTGGGCATGCGTGCACACACACCCAGCGTGAGTTTAAGCCACCAGGTCTGGGACTTGAACTGTGGTCAACTACATGGGAGTCCAGAGACATAGCCATTATACTAACTGCTGGTCCCTTCATGAACTTTTTAAAGCGGCCTTCTAAGTGCATTTTGGCTTAAATGAGCCATCACCCAAAATGCTAAAACAGTGATCTGAGAAAGTGTCTACACATATAGATAGTATTTAATCTGGCTTTCATGTTTTTTTGTTTGTTTGTTTGTTTTTGTTTTTTAAGGAAATTATGAATTGAGGGACCAGAAGTTAGCGTAATGGCTGTCGCTGAACTCCCATGTAGTTGACTGCAGTTCAAGTCCTGGATCCGGTGGCTTAAACTCACGCCGGGCACATGTGCATGTGTGTCCAAGATCCCAAGAGGAGAATGGAGGAGAAGGGATTGCCGCATGGCCATCTCCCCTGGGGGGTGATTTCTCGCTTTCTGTCTCTCTGTCTCTCTCTGTCTTTCTGGCGAGAGCACGTGCACTATAGCAAAAAAACCCTCTCCAACAAAAAAAGAAAGAAATTATGAATGGGAAACAGACTAAAATTTAGACTTAATTTAATGTGTTGTTTAATAAGGAAAAAACAAAAGCTGTGGAGATATATTAGATTACAAGTAAAAGGGATTTGATTGCGACCTTTAACCTGCGAACATATAAAAGGTTCCCTGTCAAAGTGCTACTTTAAAGCTCACGAAGACATTCAAGGCCAGAGAAGTGCTTGTCAGTGTCATTAAAGGGAATTTTAAAAGACCAGGACAAGAAAACCCAAGGAGACACTTGTTAGAAAACCAGCCTTTTTTTTTTGGGGGGGGAAAAAAAGTCTCTTTCTTAGAGACCATGAAAGGTGCCTTTATAGCATGCTCAACTTTCATACATCAACTTTCATTGTTAATTCTCTAACAATATAAGTGGGAAAATCACCCCTCAAAGATACAGTGCAGAAACAGGAGAGAAATAAGACTGTTCTTTGGAAACTTGTATTTTTAGAGGTCATAGTAGATAAAAACAGTGTCATCTTGAAGTGCATTCTCTTTACTGAAATCCCAAGAGAAGAAGAGACATTTGCACTAACGTTGGCCTCTTACTGGTAAATGAAATGTAAATGGCAACTGAATTATCTTAAAAAACAAGTGCCAGGTGTCCTGGTGCTGAGAGTTTCAGTGGCCAGGTTCTGAATCTTGTGCCTGTGCCCTTTCACAAGGGACCCAGTGATGGAGACCTGGGCATGGTGGTGCTCCAGGCCAGAAGAGCTGTCTCAGGTTGGACACTGCTCAATGCTGTCAACAGTGTACACAGGCCTCTTCCTCCACATGGGAAGTCCTGTGCAGTGAGGTCTGGAGAGAGCAGGGGAGTTCTTGTGAGGTCAGCCAGGCACCCCGAGGCCAGGCAGTGCTGCTGAGGGATGGGGGTTGGAAGTCTGGGTGTGACTCAGTGAGTTCAGCATCTATACTATTTCCTTCCCTGCTCTGGGCACCCGTGTCTGCAGCCCCTCTGCAGGCAGCACCAGGAGACCTCCCCTCGCGAGCAGCTTACCTGCTTGTTCACCGGCATGGCCTGGTGAGTAGGGTCTGCCGTGCTTGGAGGACTGCTCATCATTTTTGGGTTTGCTGCTTTACTCTCGGGGAGCTTGTTGTGATTGGATGGTTTTCGGGTGAAGTTACTCTGTTTCCCAGAGGTTGCCGTGTGAGCATTCAGCAGAGGCAGCAGAGAGCTGCACGGTGTTCTTGAGGAATAGTTGTTCTTTGGGTGTGTAACTGCAACGAGAAATGCTTGGTGTTTGGGGCTGCGCCATGAGTGCTGCTGCCTCAGTGGCCCGCTAGGCAGGGCTAGGAGATGGAACTGGCAGAGTGCCATAAGAACATTAAGAAAAGTTTTCTTCTGGAAATATGTCATTTGAAAGGGCATGGTGGTACTTAGAGGCCACCAAATTTCTCCTGTGGGAATCACTGAACTATGATTCCAGTGTAATCATCCACATTGGGAGACATTTGTAGGAAATAAGACATGTCCGAGCAAACTTAAATATTATTCTTTAGGTCAAGAACTGCCAAGGGAAGAGAGAGAATGTAACCTTTAGGCTCCCCATCTGGCTCTGAGCCTCTAAGATTCCCCATAACTGTAAACCCATTCTCATCACCCTTGCAGATCCCTAGACCACTAGGTGTTGCAGAGACAAAGGGAGATCAAGAGATACATGGAGGGGCCAGCAGTTAGCGTAATGGCTATGTCGCTGGACTCCCACGTAGTCGACCGCGGTTCGAGTCCTGGACCCGGTGGCTTAAAACTCACGCTGGGCGCGTGTGCGTGCGTGCCCAAGATCCCGAGAGGAGAATGGAGGAGAAGGGATTGTGGTGTGACCATCTCCCCTGGGGGGGGGGTGATTTCTCACTTTCTATCTCTCTGTCTCTCTCTGTCTATTTGGCGAGCGCACGCGCCCTATAGCAAAAACCTCTCCAAAAAAAAAAAAAGAGAGAGATACATGGAGACTCCAGCTTGTCAGAGACACAAGGCCCTGAGAGCATGAGAATGGGGGATGCTGGCTGTTAGGAATTTTATCACTCTAGCTCCTGCATACCCCCCATCACAGGGCCAGGCCTGCCAGCCCCTAATGCATCTTTTATATTCTGTTAGAGCTACATTATCTGGCTCTTTATCAGCTCCATTTTCCACAGCCCCACTGCAGATCTGCACCACTTCTAATTCTACAGGCAAGGCAGGCTGATTGGGCAGACTGCCGTCAGGGCTCAGGGCTCAGGCAGGTCTGTTCACTGTTTATTATGACCGCTCCCGCTGGTTTTGAAAGTGGTGGTTTCTGACGGGATGATTTCTATGTGATTATGCTGGAGGGAATCAATTGAAGGATAAAGCCATGGCTTCCTTCTCACAGTTCACTGCAATTTGACTGCCAGGCTGGATAGCAAGACCTTTCTCTGAATCTTAAAATTGTCACCAAGTTTTAAAAGCAATTTTCTCTGCTCCCTTTGTTGGATCAGACGTAATCCCAGGGTTCTGCTAGAGGATTAGGAGGGACTAGTAGGGATCACAGAATATTAGAAATGGAAGGACAGGGGCACATCTCCAGGCCCTCCTTTATATAGGCAAGGTGTGACAGCGAGTTGGGGGCTCTCCAAACACGACCAGGGGATTTCTGTGGCTTCTGTGTCTGTCAGATTCCGTTTCAAGGGTTGTTATTTCCCACAGTTCAGAGACCCTTATTTCTGGCTGGGTAGCTGTGGGCTCTCGATGTGCTCTTAACACAGATGTGCTAGGAAGGAAAGGGTCTCTCAAGGATTACAATCTCGAACACACAAGGCTGTCTTTCATGGTGGACATTTGTAATTTGGTAAGGGACACTTTCTTCCACTAGATGGCACTTGGAATGCTCAGGAGGAAAGCAGGAGAAGTGCCACACTCCTCCCACCCCAACCTGAAATGGGCGACAGAGTCGCTCAGCATTAGGATTGACTTCTCATCCTCAGGCAAACATGGAAACTAGGAAATTTCCTAGTTTCCTGTGAACCAGACTGCTTTTTTAAGAGATGGAGCAAAAGCTGGAGACGGAAAATGGCAAATAGGTAGATTTTCTTCATAAGGGAAGGAGGATACAGGGAAAGAAAAGAAAAGAATTTAAAAGAAGTACAGTCAGAAACCCAGATAATTGCCAAAGAGGTGTGAAAAGGATGCTCACAGCAGGGCTATTTTAATGCAGAAAAACTGGAAGCAGCCTCAATGCCACAAGTAGAGATATGGTTATGTCAACTCTATGTAAATAAATTGCCATTAAATACAATGACATGGAAAAATGTGTACTATATATTACGGAGTAATAAAAGCAAGTTGCATTACTAATGCGTACTATAGTACAGTAATAATATACAGTATAAAATAATTAAGATATAAAAATAAATTTGTAAGATTTAATTTACAGAGACTATCTGTGCATAAAAGCGTAAAGGATATCTGAAAGTAATGTCATGCTTTATTTAATATACTTCTGTAAGTTCTAGATTAAGCTTATGTTTTTTTAATACTTGGAGGGAGGAAAAAAAGCAATTTTCACGTAAACAAAAAAGTGCAGCCAAACTCCAGTTTTTTGGTTGACCATGAGCGTGGACTGTCCGTGCGTCCCACTCGTCCCTTTCTTCCCTTGGTCATCCTCACAGCCATTTTAGTGCCTTCCCCACCTCCCTGTGGAGGGCTGGAGTAGGGCAAAAAGCAGCAGCCAGTTTTGCAGCGTATTAGCTGCTCCAATTAAGGCTTAATAGGGAACAAGCTCAAGTTAATGGCTGAAGTGAAGTCTTTCATTATCTGCAGACTTCACTCAGCACAGGGAACCAGGGCGAGGGCGGTGGCTCAGAGCACTGCTGAGCACAATAGCTGATTGTTCCCAGACTTATTAGGGAGACTCCATGTAACAGGTCTCTGTAAGCCAGGGCTGTTGGAAACCAGAGAAGCAGTTTATCTGGTGATACTTAGGAAAAGTTTGCAGAAGGTATAAACTAGGTGACCTGTTCTGTTCCGCTTAATAAATCCAGGGGATTTACTGATGGGCAGTGGCATTTGAAAACTTGAAGTTCAAATCTTGACATTTCCAGTGACTTGTGTCATGACCTTAGATCATTAAACCTCTTTTAGACCTTACTCTAGCCCCCTGGGGACCTGCACACCTGACATTTTCCACCTCAACTCCCAACAGCGCCACATTCGCTCACACAGAATTACTTAACAAGTATGCAAAACTCACTTTCTCCGCAGAGCATGATTTGGGCCTTCAGCTGTTCGATGTCACAGGAGAATCGGGCAGCTTTCCCAAGCTCTTCATCATATTTACGCTCGCTGACAAAGTGCTGGAGGGAAGAGAAGTAAAGCAGAAGCCCCACAATTATAGACATGCCAGAGGAATCCTGCAGCCAGCCTCATTCACGCTGCTCATTGGGTGCCCACTGATGGGCTGACCCTGGAGGGGATCCTTCCTTAGCTCCATCACTGCAAGGCTGCATTAAGTCAGTCTTAGTTCTAACTCCTACCTGCCTGGGGCATGATCACTTTCTTGTTCTGGAAACATGTGAGGGTCTTTTCTTTCCCCTGTCTGTTCTTAGAAAAAGCTGCGACACAGGCAAATGTTTGGATTCATCTACCTTACCTTTTAGCACCCCTTGCCCTGGGTCCAGCAAATTATTGGGCTGCATTCTGGCAGGGTCTTTCTAGTTTGGCCCCAGTCTGCTACAGTATTAACCAGCAAGGGAAAACCTATTACCACTCCTAGATACCCATCTCTATTTTAATAGAGAAGCTAGAAGTCCTGAAGCCTTTAGTTTCTAGAAAACATTATCTCAAATGGCAGTTCTTCAGCTGCTGCTGAAGAAGTGAAGGAGAGATTATTTTTTTTGGTTCATTTAAAATTAAGATCTATGTGTAAGATGACAGAGTGAGAAATATGAAAATAACTATGACTCAATGCCTCCTTGACTACACCAGGGAGTTTACCACCTAAGAAGGGAAAGAGATAACCATTACATACAAACGTATGGCTCCACCATGGCAGCCTAGCAGTAGCACAATGCTGTGCAATGCTGGAGGCCATAGGCAAGGCTGGGGTTCAGTTTCCAGATTATTTGTACTTGCTGGGCACATATGCAAGGGCACGCCCACGATCCTGGCTGGATGAGGAGACTAGAGGAGGGGTCATGACATGGGATCCCATTGAGGGTACTTGTCTTTCACTCTCCCTGTCTCTCTGTCATGTAGGAAAGAAATACACTTAAAAAAATACAATACAAGGTGGTATGTGATTGGCTCTTTAGGAATATAAAAGAGGAAGAAATTATTTCTTCCGGAGGAGA